GAAACCTTGCCCACGCACAAGGCCTGATTCAACGGAGTTGATGCTGCCCAGGGGACTCCTCGTGTTGCCTGCGTTGTGCTGAGCAGGAGGAGGACATCCCCATGTCTGCTTCTGCTCCCTTCCACAGGCCTCCAATTCTTCCTTTTCCCACCCCAAAGCCCAAGTGGGAGACAAAAGAAAGTGCCGTGGCCACCACACTTGCATCTGCCCAGTACACACAGGCTTTAGGCACTAGCCTTTTAGGGCTCTCGATTTTCTTCTCCATAAAATATGTAGAGCCCCACATGCCTTGGGGTCTCTTTTCCAGCTTCTCAGCCTTAGAAATCGAAAACATTTTCAAGAAGGCTGAGCAATCTCTCCAAGTTTTTGTCACCTTTTGTCTATTCCAGCTATGAATTTGTAAGTTGAACCAAACCAGGGTCCTTACAGAGCTGTGGTTTTGTGCACGCACAAGCCTGGATGTACTTAGAATATTTGCATGCCATCAAGCACCACCAAAACTAATCAGTTGGGCACCACACATTCCAAATAAACCGACAGAATTCCAGAAGGGCTTCCCGGACGCGGATGTAAATACAACCACAAATAGAATCAGTCTGTGCCCATCTCACCTAGACTCAGAGGCAGGCGGAACTGCCCTGGGGCCTTTGAAATATGTCCCAAATGTGCAAATCCCAGGTGTACTTCCTTCCTTTGAAAGAGTGTTGTAGCAGTTAAAGAAGAATCAAAAATGAGAAAATCCCGTTTTTGAGAAACCCACCTAACCCAGATGCTTTTCTGTTAAAGCACTCTGAACACAGAGGAGCCATTTCACGTGCTCAGAATATTTTTCAAGAAATAACTGCTGATTGGGACCCCAAATGACTGTGGAATAGTGTTACAGATGCAGACTGATGCCCCCAGAATTCCCAGCGTGGCTGGCTGTGAAGTCGCACCTCCTGTCTCCTTAGATACCAGCAAGAGCCGCCTCTCGGCCAACAGCTCTCCCAGTGAATGGTGCAGACTGTTTCGGACCCACCACTGCAGCAGCTGATGGGTTTCTGTTGCTATTCGGTCATGCTACGTGCGGTTTAGTGAGCCTGTCAGGCTCCTCCTCCCTCAATTTGTCAATCCAGTGTCTTCTTCATTAAAGTAGGGGCTGCCCAGCAGGCTGCCCATAACTCAAATATTAAGTCAGGATGCCACAGTGACCTGTTTGGAAACTCAGTCCCACCGCCCATCATGAGCCTCTGTTGACACCACACTAACAACGCTTATGCACACACGTGGCTTTGGCCAAAGTTCGGTGCCTTCCAAGTGGAGAATGAACAGCCATTGTAGCATCCGGGGCTTGAATCTTCTGGACATGGACATACAATGTGGGTTTACGTTGATCACTCTGCAGTACAGCCTCAGACTAATCAGCTCCCTTCCACCGTATGTATATAGTAGGCTCTGGTAGCATGTGTCATAGAATCCAACAAAATACTCCATTCACTGTGCAATTCTTCCTTATAGTTGATGGCAAGCCGCTTCTTTTAACCCTACTCAACACTGTATCTTTGATCAGAAATGGAAATACAAACCAGTCAGAGTTGGGCTGGAGGATTCTGGCAGGCTCTTTGAATCTCTAGACAGGTTCTAATTTGAAACAACAGCTTTTGTTTGTGTAGGGAGGCCTCCGCAGAGCTTTGTAAATATGTCTTTCTGTCTTAGGGCATAATGTTCCCCTTGAATCTAAGTGCCACTTTGTACGAGTTCAAAGACACCTTCTGTGTATTTATCCTCAGTCAGTGACACAGAACAAAGCCTGTGCTTCAGAGAAAAGTCTGTGCGGAAGCAGATTTTGTGGTGCAGGTTTTATTGGAGGGATGGAGAGAGTTGCCTTCAGTTCCCAGACTAGGGGTTTCATTGCTGGGCATTTCCCCAGGATGTCTCCACTGACTGCAGCAAAGATCAGCAAAATTCTCAATAAAGTAACTTCAAGAAAACTATTTTTTATTATAGTTAAAAATTTGAAAGTAACTGTATGCTCCACTGAACAGACTTGTTGATTTACTTATGGGCCCTCCTGATGGGCCATGGAGGACCACGGGCTTATGGTTGGAAGGTCCTGCCTCCCACTCTCCAGAAATGACCTTGGGCCAGCCAAGTAATCCCAAAGCCCCAGTTTTCTCGACTTCTGAGTAGGGATAATAGTTTCTATCCATTTGCAGAAGTTTTTTAGAATTTAGTGACTTTTAAGATAAGCTATTATGGGGTTACTGAGTGATTTCTTTAAGCATTTAGTACAGAACAGCTAAATCCACTACCTTGAAACTTTGTTTATGTATAAGTGGGATGTCGTTTGGTGACAAAGATACTAAGAACTGTGAGACAAATGGCCTTGGATGACATAGATTTCACCTAAAAGCAAGCACTTACTGCATGTAGGGACTGAGTTAAACACACACCATGACTACAGTCTCGTTTAACAGCCGAAAACCTTCAAGGTCTGTGTGCCCGTCCTGATGAGGACCTGGACGTGTACAGAGGTCTGCACACTTGTCTGCGATACCACTGCTACCAGATCTAGTTTGGATCGGCTGTGGAAAAACTGAAAGGGTGTTATTTAAAAGGGTCCCATACCAATGGGATAGTTTATTTCCACATGTCCCTGACCACCCCCCATTGGTGGGTGACACATAAACACAGCAGCCCCTTCCCGGCTCTAGTAAGAAGATGACTTCCATTCCCTAGAATCAAACAATCTAAAAAATTTCAGAACAAGAGGCCTTGACTTTAGCTGCAGCTCTCATAGCTGCTACCCAGATCCACATAAGCCTGAGGCATGTCCCCCTCAGGAATCCCCCACCTGCTGGGCTGGGGTCCAGGAGCCTCCTCACATGCCTCGGGTCTCTGCCCTGGGTGGCTCCTCTATGCCTGGTCACTTCTCCATTCGCTGGATGCCATGCTCCCTCAGAAGTGTTCAAATCTGTGTCACTCCGTGACAAAGAATAAACCAAACGCCATCCTTCTTCCACTGCTTCTTAGGGAAACTTTGTAGTAAGAGCTTAAGTGCTAGTTTTCAAGAGGCAGGAAATTATGAAGAACACAATTTCCACCTTGAAAAATCTACCATGAGAGAAATCACCACCAATGAAGGTGAAGAAATTTCCTGCTAAGTTTAATAAGTGAGGCCAAAGATTTAAAGTTATAACAGGAGAGGAGACACAGCGTTGGATCCATTATTAAGTCGTGATCTGAATACCTGGGATTAAAGCTTGACCATTCAAAGCTATTAAGGACACACAGATACAAACACACCACATAAAGTAAGGAAAGAACTGGCCTTCTAGAAAGGAGGACAGCAAGGAGACACAAAGACCAAAATAGCTACATTAACCAGAAACACATATAATGAAAGTCCCACTACTGAATAGAAGGAATGAGTGAGCTGAAGAGTGTTTTCAGTGAGTGCAGAGTCAGCTGTGATTAAATAACTAAGATACAGAATGGGGCTGTATAACCCTCACCCCTCAGCTCACCCCTCTATCTGCTCTCAAAGAGCAGACATACTGGGGGCATCCACAGATCCTCATGGGATGGAGCGGTTCACAGGGACGCTCACCAACGCCAGTATGTTCTCCTGTGTGCAGGTGTGAACCAAGGATGCTGAATCTGGGGGCAGGAAAACCCAGAAATCAGGCAGGACTGAACTGGGCTCAGCATGTTATCTGGCCAGACATTGCAAAGGAATGATCCAAAGTCCTGTTAGTTTTGATACTCTACTGCTTGTTACTAGGCAGAATTGCTTGCTAAAGAACTTTAAAGATGTATTTGAGTCTCGTGATGTTTAAGAAAAGGCATAGAAAACTTCCCTCGTTGAATTTTCTTTCCCCAGAGCCACACAGGACTGGCTTTACATTCCCTGGAAACTGCACTTTGGTTTGCTTTGTTATGTGTGTGTCTGGCTAACTTTTGGTGCTTGGGTGTAATAATCAAAAACACTGAACTGCTTACCAAAAGCTAAGGCCAAAACATTGCATACGTGATGATCTCAGAGATCTGAGGTGTGCTGGACTATAAATACCAGCAGCAAGTATTGTTTCCATCTGCTTGAGGCACGGAAAAACGGTGTGTGTGTTTAAAAGACTTTCTTTTACAAAATAACCTCACAGGTGCTTAATCTGCGCCATGCAAAGGATATGAATGAGATCTTCATCGTGACTATGGATTGCCGTGTGAAGCTGGTCTTCCAAGTGCAATAACTTCTTGCCTATGGCTTCACATTTTTCTCCAAGTTCTGCAGAAAGGAAGTAAGATTCCTGGGCAGAGGGGGGAAAAAAAGATCACCTGTAAGCTAAAGACATTTTTAGGCCCGCAAACACAGGTAGTATGTACAGGGAAGACCTGTAAGAGGGCGCCCAGCCACTGCACCTGTCAGAATTGTACTAGGGCCTTGTCTTCCCTCTAGTAGGGTCATTCCTGAGAAGACAGGAATCCATTTCAAGTTATCACTGAATGGTGAGCTGGGTCTATGCAGCTCCACAGGCCACTTCCCTTACCTGGTCAAAACACAGCTTCCGGGATGCTAACTCCAGAAGTGGATTTATCCAGGGGGAAGCCTGGATCTTTCAGCTTCATCCGTGGACAGACTCACAATTAAATAAGAATCCCGACAAAAGGGAGTGGGTAAGAGAAGAACGACCGGGCTGACCTGGAAGGGCAAAGGGCTCTTCCCCTTGAGGCACAGCCATTTAAGCGGGTACTGGGCCTTATTTTACACACTGACAGCCACAATCCCAGAAGGCCAGAATACTAAGGAGACTTTAAATACTATGAGGTCTGTCCCTGATGCTGCCCCCACCACCACACTGGAGCACACGCCCCGTCAGGACGGGATAATGGTATCTCCTGGTGGGCACAGAGTATTGATGGGTTTGATGAAAGAACAGGTGAGTCTGAGGACTCCCTTCTCTAATGTTCCCCCTTCAAACGTATATCTCACACCTGAGCCAGAAAGGGCCCTCTTTATGTCACTTTTCTGCATTAAAACACCACAGAACAGAGTCAAATCCTGCGCTTGTATAACCCTGCCCAAGGCCCATGGTTCTGCTGTAACCCTTCTACTCTCTAAATGCAACCTAACGTTCCAGCTGGACTAACCCCACCACCTTCCTGTTCTTCCCCCTGTTCATTCTCCTTCATTCTTCTCTGAAACCAGCCACCTCTTCAGAGCTCCCAAGTAGTTATCCCACACATAGAGCAGACATTCTGACATGCACTATGTCCTCTTGAGTGAGTAGAAACTCCATGTAGGCAAGGACCGTAAGTTAATCATTCAAATCCCAAGGCCCCAACTGGAACGCCAGGCATACAGAAGGTCATGGACATGTGAATCAACAAGTTTAAGAAAACTGGAATAGAAAATAAGCTCTTAGAATAATGGGAGGTGGGGACAAGAAAGAACTCAGAGTGAAAACTTAACCAAATGTAAAGATGGTATTTTCTCAATCTATTAGGAAGAGCTTAGAAGGTCTACCAAAAGTAATTTTGCAAAAGAGAAAGAATTAAGATACACATTCAGATTAAACTGCAAGCTTACTATAAAATCTGTAATTAATACCCAAATAGCAACAAAGTGGCCATGTTTCCTGTTTAAAAGTCCTTGGAGATCACTTGGTATATAACATTCTAATCGGAGCCTGTGAATAACAATTAAGTCCGGGTATGTAACTTGACATTTACTATATGAGCTCCGAAATGGTTTAAAGTTTATGTGCCAAATGGTCAATGATATTAGATTAAAACAGTGTTAATGGGAATTACAAGTCACTACTATAAATACTGGAAAAGTCTGGTTTACTGGAAGGGTATATACATACACATACAAAAGAAAAGAGATCTAGTGATAGTAACATGCAATTTCGAGAACATATGGACACAATTAAATGAGCTTTAATGTGAAGCATGCATGAAGGTTTGCTCAAAATTGACCGTAACAGTGGTAAGAAGACTGCAAATACAGAAAATCTCAGATACGTATGTTCCCTGATCTTAAAAGCAGTAACAGTATCATTCAAAGGTGGAGAACTAGGGGAAGACAGATCCCACGGAGGTGTAGCCCATGGGCAGAGAGTAACACCACAGTCACCCATGAAATACGCGGGACGCTAAGAAGAACAGCTGGAGAAAAATGACTGACGATGGTGAAACCACGAGTCATACAAGGAGAAAGGTACAGTGTGCGCGGGGGACTACCCGCGACTACACACACTTCACACAAAGCACACACAGACACAGAACGGCAAGCCCAGGAAGTTCAAACATTCTCACATGAAATCAAATAACTCAGTCTTCATCTTGAGGCTACCGCAAATAGGAAATCAGAGCTGAATGAAATAAATAAATTACAAATACATGCAGATTGATAGCAACCGTGTATATCTTGGAAAGCAATTTCAGACCACATAACCAAACACTTTATTTTCTTTTAAACTGATTGTTATTAAATCATAACTGTATACATTTATGGGGTACCATGTGACGATTTGATATATGATGTGGAATGTTTAAATCAAACTACTGAACATAACCATCACCTCACTTACTTATTTTTGTGGAAAGACATTTATTTAGTTGTTCTGAAATGTTCCCTTGCATTGTGCACATGAGGTGAGCTGCCACCAAATACCCTCTCTCCTGTATCCACTAGCCCTCCCCTCTCCCCCCTCCCCTTCTTTCTCCCTCCTCTCCTCTCTCTCTTTCTGGACTATCTTTGTATTTTATCATTCATATGAATATATAAGTCTGTCTATATTGTTTTCATAATGGTATTTTTTCCCTATTCTTGAGATACTTTACTAAGAAAAATATGTTCTAGCTCCACCCAGGTAAACATAAAAGATGTAAAACTCTCCCTCTTTTTTATGGCTGCATAGTATTCCATGGTGTACATATACCACAGTTTGTTGGTCCATTCATGCATTGATGGGCATTTAGGCTGCTTCCATGACTTGGTTATTGTGAACTGGGCTACAATAAACATTTTGATGCAGACGTCTTTGTTGTAAAATGATTTTTGTTCATCTGGGTAGATACCTAGTAATGATATTGCAGAATCAAACGGTAGGTCAACCTTTAGTTCCTTGAGAATTCTCCATACTTCTTTCCAAAAGGACTGTATGAGTTTGCAGTCCCACATCCAAGAAAGAGGCTCAAAGGGTCATGTTGATGGAAGCCTAGTTGATGGAAACTAACCAGAGACTTGACCAGCACCTGCAGACACAGTGTCACCCCCTGTCCATCCTCAGAACTCTGGGCAGTTGGTTTTTAATTTCTGGAGGGCTCAGCCTCAGAAGAGGATGGTGCTCCCTCCCAGACCCAGATGCATACTGATAAGAGGTGGCCATGATGACACCCAGTGGTGAGCTCGGGACCACCCATCCCTCCACCTGTCCATAAAGCCTTAGGCTGGAAAGGGAGGAAAGCAGGCGGGCACACGGGAGGATGCAAGGCTCTCTTCTTTCCTTCTTACCACTTTCCAAATGAACGTGCTCTGAACCCACGTCCACTGGCTCTTCTCATCCTGGGCTCACGTCCATGCACAACTTGTGACTTTTCTAATCGTTTTACTTTTAATTTAAAATGTGCCAAAAAATAAAGAAAACCACATGACCGATACTTGATAACCAAAACTGCCACCACTACAAAGTCCCTGGGATTTCCAGCTGAAATGGCGTTGTGCAGGATTTGCAATTCTGAGTGGATCATTTAAGATACGGGTTGTTTGGCATTTCAAAGTATCTTTGAAGACTCTCCAGTAATTCGTCTTGTCAGGGAATCTTTTCAGCAATTCAAATGATTATGTGTTTCCCCTTTCTAAACATCCATCCCTGTCATGATCCCCAGGAGTCCCCAGGAGCAACTGTTTTCCCCATGGTTTAGGAGGAAAAGCCCCTGTGAGAGATAAACGGCCTAATGGCTGAGTTCTTCCGCCTAGCTGACACCCTCCTTCAAAACCTTGCAGATTCCACTTCCTCCAGGATCGCCTAAACCCTGAATCTCCCGCCCCACCCAACTCTGGCTTGGAGAAGATTCCTCCCTGTGTATCTAACTCCTGTCTCTCCTACTGGACGATAGGACAGTGGTGTCCTGAGACATCTGTAGCTCCAGTGAGTGGCACCTGCCTCACTCTGAAATGATGCTCAGTAATACTTGATAAAGCAATAAAAGGGGACTCTGCTCTCTTCCCAGGTCCTGAAGAAGCCACATGGCTTCTCAGACTGCGTCATCTAAGAAATCCTCTCACCACGGTGTGTGAGGAGCCAGGCAGGGGCAGTGGCAATGAGAGCCTTTCTGAATGCTGCACACATGCCCTTGCTCAGTGCAGCCAAGAGCAGCCTCATCTGAGATAATTCCCCTGCCGCCAGGGAGGATGTGAGGCCCCGCGTGCCCGCCCGGTAATGCCATATGCACATGTCTTTTATTGGCCTCAGAAAAGCCCTACAATCCTCCCTGCGGTCCCTCCATGTGGGTACGACCCAGTAGCGCCGACTCAGCCAGGCACTATTTCACACGTAATTTGCTGAACTCACCTCTTGGTCTAAACCTGTGGGCCTGAATGGCTGGACAGGAGTTTTCAGCTGTGTTGAATTAGAGTTGATGTCAAATGTCTGTCTTGCTCAGCCAACTCAGAGAGTGTGATTTAAAACAGAAAATAGGATTTCCTTTGTAGGATTTTCCCATTAAAGTAAGTTTCTGAAAACATTTATCTATAAAAGTGTATGCTCAGATCCCAAAAAGCCCTTGGTTGCTAACCTGAGCAGAGGTCTATCCCGCACACGCTGGTGAGAACACAGTCCCAAATGCCCTGGCCAGTGACACAGTGTCACTCCCTGTCCATCCTCAGAACTCTGGGCAGTCGGTTTTCAATTTCTAGAGGGCTCAGCCTCAGAAGAGGATGGTGCTCCCTCCAGGACCCAGATGCACACTGATAAGAGATGGCCAGGGTCTCCAAGGACTTTTTTACTTAGTTAAATTTCCCATAAGCAAGACTAAGTCTTTCTGCCTGTGACCTTTGGAAAATATCAACACTTTTTTAAAAAACCAGAGGTCATATTCAAAGAATAGACAATATATTATGTAATAATAAGGTCTGTTTTGATAAGAGCAAGTATCTGGTGTCAGGGCTATCCCTAGTGATGAGGAAATCATTATCTATTATTTCTACTCTGAATAGAAAATGCACGCGGAATAGGAAACTGAGTTAAATTGCTAGGTAGGCAGGCGTGGCTGGGCTGCGGGCTCTACTTAGAAAAGGCTT